TAATATAGTAAAATAGTATTATAGTATATACAATACTATATTATGTTATATTATAATAAATATAATATTATCGATATACGTATGCATAACCGAGGATAATGTCCTCAGGAGGAGAGTTATGCAGATGCCTTACTAAAGGCAATCGTTGAACAAAAGAATCGCGAATGAAAATGGCAATCGAGCAAATCGAGGGTGAATGCGCGACTGGTCGTGACCGTAATACGGCCTTCTGAATTTCGCGCAGTAAACAACCATTCGTAAGAATAATAATCTAAGGTAGAAAACAATACCACGTTACTATACCTAAATATATATAAATATATACACCTACACACAAATACATTTTACGTTCTTGAGATACAAGAGATTATCAGAATGTTTTTTTTTTTTTATATTAAAACCTAAGATCGTATTTTCTTTGTCCAAGCATAAATACCAATGTATATATGTACTTGTAATGACTTCAAAGAATAATATTGTAAGGATTGAAAGAAGCAAAATGTAGAAGAAAAAAAAGAAAAAAGAAATACTGAGAAAATCATTTACAACGCAAATCTTGTACGCCTGCTGTTTACGGTAAAACATTAATACGCGTTTGGTGTAATAATATCAGTTAGTTTCTTTGCAACGAGAGAGACGAGTCTAACAAAGTCGCACTTTTCTAGCTTCTAATCTTGCATTCAAGTAACGTCCATGACCTAACCCTGACCGAGACCCCCAACAACACAACTTCCAAGATATCTCTGCGTTTTCATCGATTTCGCAACGACGATATAGAAGAAAATTATAAAAACTAACGATCAATTTAAAAAATATATATAAATGTCCTGTATTTTAAAAACGCGAGTAAAAGTCTGAGATATGTTGGATTTTTATGATTTTTACGTTTGGGATTAACATTTTTTTTTCTCCCTCATTTTTTTAAAAAGTTAACTTGAGATTCTTCTTTTTATTTCTTTTTCGTTTCTTATAGCGGTTAACGTTAGACGACCAGAGGTGAAAAAAAGTGTAAGAAAAAGAAAAAGAAAAAAAAAGAAAAGAAAGAAAAAGGTTTGAGGGCGTAGGTCGTAAAATAATATCGGCACGCAAAGGTTCGACCTCGATCTCACGGTAGGAACAAGTTTTCTCATCGAGTTGTGAGTTGACTTGAGTTGAGTTGAGTTGAGTTGAGTTGAGTTGAGTTGAGTTGAGTCGAGTCGAGTTTGAGTCTCAAAAAGCGATCGAAAAGAGGAGGAACCAAAGGAGGCTCTAATCAAACGAAATTATTCTTCGTGGTCGAGAAAACGATATTCGAAGGAACGACTTTCGAAGGTGTTTCGGACGAACAAATTACGTCACGTTTATTTTACGACACTTTCAGTAATCCTTTCTACCTACCCAAAGTTTCTCCTTTCCTTATTTGCCGCAACGTTAAATGCGTCAAAATATTATACCGATATATACACACGCATATACAATAACATCTAATTACATTTAATAAGGAATATTAATCGAATGTTATTTTTTTTTCAATTCTATTGGGTAATAGAATTTTGTTTAAAAAATTTATATTGTTTAACTGTATCGGAAGTTTATATATATAGAATAAATTACGTAAATTTACTCATTATTAAAAATTATTTGTAAATATTGAAATATTGGGTTGTCCCAAAAGTTTCTTTTTTTTTAAAGGAATTCTATAAGCATAATATTTTTTATGTTAAATAATTTAAAGTATAATAAAAGGTAAAATAAAATAAAAAAAAATAAAATAAAAAAAAATAACAAAAAATATAATAAGATAAAAATATTAGAAGTGATATAAATATATTATATATAATAATATATAATAAGATATTTTTTTAGTAAAATAACGTAATATACAAATAAAAAAAAATATATTGCGCATACAATATTGTTCAACTTATCACTAAAAAAAATGAAGAAATTTTTGGGACGACCTAATGTAAGAAATTATTGATATAACAAATTTCTAAAGGTATTTTCTGCGTATAATTTTTTAACAATATCACTTGAACGATTGTCTAATCTTATCTTGTAAATTATTACAGAAGCTTATTAAATCATTTGTTACGATTTTCAATTTAAAATCATTGAGTATTTCATTATTTTGCACATACCTAGAGAGAAATGTATTGACGATTATAGTTCTGATTATTTCGAATTATTATGTTTACTAAATATAAATAGATTCAATTATAGTTTTATATATTAAAAGGTCTGTTATTTATATTTAACTTTGAATCTTTCTGTTAGTTAGTCAGAAAAGGTTTTTTTTTTTTACTAATACGAATTTGTTGTGGTTCATTTCGTAAATATTGTTTAAACTCATTCATCATCTGTTTATTCATTGATAGAGTTTGTGCATTTCGGAAGAGAAAATTGATAGAAATGTTATACCATTAGTATAAAAAGTCTAATTATTACGATTAGGTACTTTTTTGCAGTCCAAAAATCACATTTAATATTTAACGATCGAGCATATTAATTTTTCTATAATATAATGATCTTACTAATTTTGTTAATTTAACAATTAATATACTTAATCATTGCTATATTAATAATTAAATTTACCTAATGAAAAATAATTTAAATAAATTATTGAAACTAACAATAACATTAGTATTAAATCTTACGCTACTTTACAAATGATACCATAAGTAACAACTTCATATAAACAGGTTAATTATATCGTAGAGACGACAAAACAAAAAGTGACCTAGAAGTGAATAATAAACAGATTCTATAATTTTTCGTTGTAAACCCTATCTCTAGAATTGAAATTCGAATACGTTATACAAACACACCCATACTCTCTCTAGGTATAGTCATCGGGGTTTAAGAATTTTCGAATTTCGTTCTTAATTTGAATGGGGAGTACAGGAAGGGGCTACAGAAAAAGTCTGTGAATATCGTTACCAAGAGGATGGAATTCAAATTGAGAGAGTCCTAAAACCGGTTAAAGATACGAAAGAAAGAAAGAGAAAGAATGAGAGGAAAAGAAAGAAAGGAATAGAAAGGGAGAGAAAGAGACAGAAGGAGGTTTAAGAAATCTTTTCTTGGTTTTTCTCTCTTTTCGAGAATAAGGAAAGAAAAGAAAGGTTCTAGAAGATGAAGAAGAAGAAGAATAATAAGAATAATAAGAAGAGAGTCTCGAATCGGTCGGTGTCGCTCACTTACCGTGCGAAAGGCTGTTCCTCGACTTCGTAGAGTTCCTCGAGGGTCTGCTTCGAGAGAACCCTCTCCAGTCTCTCGGGCGTGGGAGCGAGGTGCCCCGGGATGCTGGTAAGTTCGAACAGGCCGTCCGCGGTCATGGCGCCGCGAGACTCCTAAGAATTTCTCCTCGTGTGATAGGTACGTACGTACGTATGCGTACGTTGCTGCTTACGTCGTCCTCTTCGTCTTCTTTCTTCTTCTAAGTCGTCGTCGTCGTCGTCGTTGTCACCGTCGTCGCAGTCGTTGTCCTAGAGATAGGCAAGCAAGTAGGCACGCTCACGCGCGCGCACACACACACACGTCTTGACCTTAAGTTGAAATTAATATCCGAGAGTTGCACAAAAAGTAAACGAGATAAATATAAACAAACGAAAGAAAACAATGCGGCCAGGTTGATAAGGAAGGGGGGGGGTTGGTCAGTATTGGCGATGCCGCCGGGAAAATTGGTGGCCGGGGGGAATGGATTGGAGAGAGAGAGAAAAAAAAACAAGAACGCGCGTTCTTTGTCACACTAGGTTTTTTCTCACGAAGACCCTCCTCTCCTTTCTTTTTGTTTTCTTTTTTACGCGGCGTCAGCGTCGTAACAAGGAACGAAAGATTATTATCACGTCGTCACTGTCGCGAAAAACTTCAGACCACGTACGAAGAAGCATTATTTCCTCTTTTTTTTGCTTTTATTTCCTTTACCCCTTTTTCTTATTTGTCTTCCGTGTTAAAATCACCACCTGCCGCTGCTGGCTGCTACTTTTTCGGTCTTTTTTTGTTTTGTTTGTATGTAAAGTTTTCCAAGTAACGTAAGTGGGTCGTTTTCCCTCGTCGAGATAATTCTCCTTTTGTATTATAATGAGAAAATAATAAACGTGCTCGCAATAACGGAACGAGTTAGTCGCACACCGTATTATATCTATATAATATACTCGTATTTAGCCGAGGCACGCGCCTTACAGCTATGCGAGCTTCGTAGCACACAACCACTTCGCGCGACGGTCAAACGACGATTGAACAGTGAGCACTCGTCGAATGCCGACGTCCCCACTCTTTCCCATGATCCGAGCTACTCCGCCGGAGTGGGGGGTTCAATGTTCGCCGGCCTAACCGGACCTAACCGAAGTCTATCGAACGTTAGCCGAAGATTTTAGCGCGAACTACGAACCCTCCCCGCTGTATATTTTCTTTCTTTGTGACGTCGTTTGATTCTTTTTCTTCTTCTTCTTTCTCCGTTGCCCTTTCCCTCTTCCTCCACCCTCTCGTCATCCTCGTTATCTACTTCTTCTTTCTCTTTTATCGTGTCGTGCGATGACTCCGCGAATCGTTTTCTAAGGTCTGTCTCTTTCTACTTGCCTCTCCTTCTCGATTTCGACGTGACGAATTAATGCGATCTTTCCTCTTAGTGTATCCTCCTCTCCCCTTGTATATCTTTCTAGTTTATCTTACCAAGAGACGAGATTCTGCTATTATACGATCGATGCGAGACTATCTTTTTTAAATATTAGATAGAATTTGTTTTTTTATTATATGTACACTTTACCTCTCCTCTATTTGTATTTCATCACAGCTACCAACGTGATAAATAATTCCTTAGTTTTGTGTAGTTATGATAGTTACCTAGAGGGTAAGGTTCTGAAATAAGTCTAAACAATCGTTCTCGTTAGATTTTCAATAGAAATTGTTCGAAGAAGAGAATAAAATATTTACTAGGATATAAACGAGAAAGAAAGACTATTTCTGTGAGAGTAGAAACAAGAGAGTTACGGTAAGACGCGACGGGATCTTGTCAACCACCTTGCATGATTATGGCGAGCCAGCATGAATAATGGAATGCATAATTTATAGGTTTCCAAGCGAAAGAGAAGCAGCAGACAAGAAGAGAGAGGGTCCAGAGTTAATCTTTCTCTCTCTCCCTCTTTGTCTCTCTCTTCTCTTATATGCAAGCGCTTACATTATCGATCTCCTAATAAGTCGGTGCAACTTTCAATGCCAAGATAAATTAGGTAATATCGATAACGATAACCGTTGTTTCTTTCTTCTTGCTATGATGCAACTGCATACGCACGATAACGTAACAAACTGATTTAATAATAATGAAAATGCGTATACATGTTTATGACCATGAACGATATCCGATGCAATATTATAATCATCGACGTATGTTGCATCTTATCGACAAATATTTGCATACCGTTAAAAATACAAAAGTACTTGTAAATAAAAATTCTATTTCTATATTATGAAAAAAAAAAATTTCTTTTTCAACCTCCCCCCTTAACGATCCTTTGTTTTACGAAGAAGGAAGAATTCAACGTCTACATCGACATAAACAACGTCTATAACTTTTTAAGTTTACGAATGACGGTACGCATGAGCGATAAGAAATGCTCGGATTTGATGTTGTATACCCGGTGCGTGGACATTCTAACAGATCGCGACGCGTGCACGAACGAACGAATTACGAGGGACTTTACGTACTTCTTCGCGTCGTTTCTACGATCTTTGTACGATATTTACGACAGAAAATAAGATTCCGTTGAGTCAAACTCGAATCTTAATGATTCGAGGACGCGAATGAAAACGATAGGGAAAACGAGATATATTACTACTTTAAATGTACCTACATGCATAAATGTATGCAAGTTAGAACAAAGAGACAATGTTATATTCCGGATCGATATTTTTGACCTCGATTGCGGTCATTCTAAGGATCAAGGATGGGTATTGAGAACGTCGAAGTTTCGTACGTCTTCTTCGTTATACCGGTGTTAATCGAGTTACAGAAAGTCGATGTTGAAAGATCGCGGATTTATTGCAAAATTATCAACCAAGTGAATGCGTGTGTACACATATATATATATATATATATATATATATATATATATATATATGTATATGTATACGTGTCACTCGTTGAAAATTATATTTAGAAAGTCTAATAACGCGAGAATGCGAGAGAAATCAAAGAGATCTAAATAAAGAATGACAGAATAAAGGATATACGATTGAAAATATTGATAATAATAATTCATAAATGCTTGTTACGGACGAAGCTCATATAACTTATTAGAAAATAGTGTCGCCAGGTGTCCACTATCGTATCCAAGTGACACGAACCAAGACGATTTTATTCGACGAAGAAATACAGAAAACGAAATATGTGTTATAAGAGATCGTATTACTGTTTAATTTAAACAACACACATTATACATGATTTCTTAAAAGAGAACTATATAAAAACGATCATTTCTGTGTGTGTTTTTTTTTTATTTCATCAATTCTACCTACCTTGATCCTTTTAACCTTTTTTAAAGTGTTGAAACACTCGACCAAAATGTTTCTCGGAGATGAAATATTTTTTTGCTAGTATGGTTAATTATATTATGATGAATTTAATTATAAGTTATAATATTTATTATTTTAAATAAATTATTTTCTATGTCAAACATTGATGTCAACAAATGCACATATATGCATCCACAGTATTAAAAGGGTTAATTAAGCTTTATATAGGACATCCTTAAACAAAACAAACAATCTCTTTTACAAACAAGATCATTCCACTCTCTATAGGGTATCAAGCGGTTATGATGACGTTAGTTTCTCGAACGACCTTCACAAAATACCGATAGGTTTAGTACACGTGAGGCAATAAGGAACAAGAACGACGATAGTGCAGGTGATTCATCGAGTCAAGTCTCTTTCACGTGTTGTACGATCAGGTTCTTTCTTTCTCTTTCTTTTTCATTCTATCTATAGTATTTTTGTTTCTCTATCTTTTTCTTTTTAGAATCGGAATCGTAATCGGTGATCCACCGGCATGTTTTGCCGGCGCGGATTATCGCTAGGTACGGCTAAATTAAACGGTGTTTCCTTCTTCGAGGCCGATTTCACGGATATTCGAGACCATTAATACACCCGGTTGGTAACATCGACTCTTGGCGATAATTAGCTCTACCCTGAAATTAACTCGACTCTGTACACCGAAGGAAGGAAGCCGATGCATATGTTGGTGCATCGTTCTACTCTAGGAACTTACTACGCATCATCGTTCTACTCGATCACTTTCTTACTTTATCTGAGAAAAGATAATTTTAAAAAATGTTTTATGCGTCAAAGTTATCGTTTGGTTACGATAAGGTACTACACAACCAATATTCAAAGTCTGTGACCTCGGTAAAAAATGAAAATCCTTTTTTTCCATATTGTTACGTTCATTAATTTTACAATGATTTTGATTATTCAATTAAATATTTCCTATGAGGAATTTGTAGAAAATTTTTTGATTATTCTTACGTTACGGTCATTACGTTTATCATTAGTTCATCGAATCGTGAACAACAAAGATTTTTTTTCCTTTTACTTATCTATACATTAATATATTAATATATATACGGTTTGATTTGAATAAAATGAAGAAATTAATTGCGAAATTAAACTTTCATTCGAGTTTGATTATTCGACTTAAGGCAGACTTATTTTTAGCGAGTTAACGTTAACACGTAATTGTTTTATCTGAAGAACGACTACGTCGAACATAGCTTTCGAATTACATCATTCGTTTAGCAAAAACATTTCTGCTTGGCGACACGTTGGTCTTTCTTCTTTTACGCGTTACTTCGAGCAACTTCATTTGTAAAGAGAGAAAAGTTTATCCATCTCATTAAGCATATCCAGTAAACTGCACTTCGACGTAATGAAACAGATCTGATCCGATAGTGAATCTGTACGATTCTTCTTATGTTAGATGTATGCATGAATACATACGTACATATACATATATACGATTACATTTCCGAACTTTCCTGAGTACACTTGTATATATACGATCAGTCTTCCTTATAAATCAGTCGTCCGACAGTAATTTAAGATAATCCTAGAGTGCTATATTTTACTGGAAAGACGTACTGGATCAGTATACCTTCCCTTGCGTGTGTTTAAAACACGACTGACTACTACAACTATTACACTATAACGTTGCTAAGACGATTGTAATTGCTTCTAACCTGTATACGTTTAATAATACATATTTCCTTAAATTACCTTTACGCATGTTCACTTTTTTTTTCATACATCCCGTCCAGATGGATTTAAGATGATCATTTTAACTGTCCCTATACAACAACAATCAAGACAATAATAATAATGACGATAATGATGATGATAATGACGACTAAGAAGACGACGATGGTGATGATAAAAATAAGAATTATAAATATTATAGTGAGAAGAAAAAATAAAGAAAGAAAAAAAAAGGAAACAGAAATATTATTACATAAGCTTTAAAAATAGTTCAATTATAAAAAGCTGCGTAAACGATATTTAATGCGAATTCTGTCGAAAATGTTCTACACGACGATGTTTAAAAGCACGTTTCACGATATAGAGACGATAAATATGAAGAAAGAAAAGAAAATAAAAAAAAAAAAATAAAAATGGACTCATAGAAAAGATATGATGAACGTTGCATTTTCCTGTTCCAAGAAGATGTACCTACACTTTGACTGTTATCATTATGGTAGAAGGATTCGTTTGTGAAGTTTCGAAGAGAGAGAGAGAGAGAGAGAGAGAGAGAGAGAGAGAATCGGTGGCACTCGTTTCCAGACTTTCAGGTCCCAGAAAGGCGGAAGTAGTAGCGCGAAAAATGTTCTTTATTTTCCACCGTCAAAGAACTCATTAGCCCTAATGGTGAGCCAAAGAGAACTCGGCTCTTCGTGCTCACGACTCTTCGTGCTATTCCTCGCGATCCGGAGACAAAGAGGATCGCGAATCCTCTATTCCTCTCTTTCTTTTTCCTTCTACCTTGCTATCATCTTTCCAATTTCACCGAGACTAGAAATTCCTTCGAAAGATGAGCCAGTGTCTCTCCTATTTTCTTAACATTTCAAATAAAGAAGAAAAATGTTTAAAAGAAATCAACCAGAAAAATATCAAAGACAAATTAGAGAGTCCATTGTAATAATTTAATTTTTGTTTATACATTGATAGAGAT